ATGATTATTGACTATATGACCTTGGATTTTATAAAAGGAAAACACGATACCATGTAATTTTCTCAATAGAAAAAATTGCAAAGTAGGATCTAATTGGTTACATTTCTCCATGACACCATAATATTTTTACGAATAATTTCATGTTTAAGGCGTAGTGAATAATCTAAGTTCTTTTCATCAGTAAGACACGCGGCGCTTACTTAGTTTTTTTCCCGAGCGCGTGTTTGTTATAGCTATCTCGTAATTTGCGTATTATGAAGTCATTGCATCACTTTCATTTTGATATTCCCTCAGTCATCTGTGAGCATCACTGACAAAGGGATAAGCCACGCCCAAGACTACGATTCATTTTCAAGGTATCATCTAAGAATAAATTGATGATCCATGCATTGTGTGCAGTAAATTCAAGCCACGTAAATCGAAATATTTTGCGCTAAATTGTTTGGCAAATAATTCCAATAACCGATAAGCCTATAACAAATAAAATGTCATTACGTCTGCACATCTTAATTAATATTTATTATGCTTTATTATGTCCTGATGGTAAGTGGCTTTTGCTGCCCGTAGAGACCAGCGGCCAACTTCAGAAAAAAACATAATACATTATCACCTTTTAGTGAATAATATGGCAAACAAAAATAATGCTTGATTCGCTTTACCTTTTTAAGCGGTTTAAAATTTTGGCATTTGAGTTAAACATAGACGACTCCTAAATTAAGTAATTTGCGAAAACGATTTCCCAGGAGGTTCTAACAAAGCAGAGACAACTCTCAATATCAATAGCTTTTTTAGTGAAAATTTGGACTTGGAGAATAAACCCTGAGGAAGACACTAAAGTACCACAAATTTTTAAAAATAATTTGGCTTAAATGAGACAATGACAAGAAATGTTTGTCCCATGAATTAATTAATCTGCATACAAGAGCACTTACTACCAAATGTACATTATATATGAGGTCGGGGAAAATGTTTCTTCGTATTTCATATTCAAATTCAAGACATTTTCTTCAACTTTGAATTATAATTAATAATAATATTATATATATGGGGGGATGAGTCGCTCGCGTCCGTAGGCTTCGACCACCTAACCTTAGGCCCACCCTACACGTGTCCCCCGGGTGGTGCTAAACGAGCGACAAGGCCGAAAAAATAGACTCGGCTCCTCGCCGTATGGTAGCGGCGTAAAATCTACCACCAACCCTTGTTCGCACCATGACTCAGAAAATAAAAGAAATGGCCCCGAGTTCCCGGCGCCCCTTACATGGGGCAGGGGTGCGAAGAATCTCCGGGAGAAAAACCGGCGACGAGGTTCGCCACCCGTCACGTTCTGTCTCCGAAAAGTGGATTGCGGAAACCCGTCTGGCTACGCTGAATGTATGTGGAGGAATGAATGATAAGATGGATGAAGTATGCGAAATGATGAATGACAGAGGAATAGATGTGTTATGTGTGAATGAGACGAAACGAAAGGGAAAGAATGCCACTGCACATGGCACGTATACCGCGTATTGGTCTGGTGTAGGCGAGACCGAACGGGCATGCCAGGGAGTCGGTTTCATCCTTTCAGAAAGAATGGATCAATGTGTGAAAGAGTATGAATGTGTAAGCCCGAGACTGCTATGGATACGAATGAAAGTGGGCTTAAAGAAGCTGTTCCTGCTAGGGGTGTACGCCCCAGACATGTCTAAGCCCACTTACATCCGAGAGCAGTTTTGGGACATGGTAAGGATGGTGTTGACAAAATGTAAGGAAAATGAAAATATTATTATGTTAGGAGACTTTAATGGAAGGGTTGGGGTGAAGCGGTCTGGTTATGAAAGGTTATTGGGAACGTTTGGTGATGAAAGTATAAATGAGAATGGTGAAGACCTCCTCACCGTATGTGCGGAAAAGAATCTTTTTGTGACGAATACTTTTTTTCGTCATAAGAAGATTCACATGTATACATAGCAAAGAGGTGATAATACATAGATGCATGATAGATTTCGTAATTTTGGATGAAAGAATGAGGAGCGCAGTCGTAGATACAAAGGTTTACCGGGGGTCCAACGTAGGGACGGATCATTACTTGGTCTTATGTCGAATTAATGGTCTTTTCAAGCGTTGGCGGCATCGGACATCTGTGTCTACCACTGCGTTACAGCGTATAAGAATAGAGAAGTTACAAGATGAAGATGTGATAGAGAAGTATAAATGTAGACTGAGAGAAAATATTAGATGTTTGAATGAGTTGTGTATGAATGATTTAGACTTGAATACTGTGTGGGATAATATTAAGAAAGGTTTGGTGGATACCGCCACCGAAGTATGTGGTGTAAGTAAGAGAACAAATGAAAGGAAAATTAATACGTTATGGTGGGATGATGAGGTACGGGTGGAAGTTGAATCAAAGAAGAAAGCATGGTTAGATTTACTAGCAACCAAAGCTGGTAATTCTTCTGGTATGAATGATGAGATTGAAAGAAAAAAGGCAGAATTTAGACGTCTAAATAAGAGAGTAAAGGAAGTTGTTGAAAGGAAAAAGAAAGAAAGAACGGATAAGAATGATAGAAGGATATCTGATAATTTCCAGGCTAACATAAAAATGTTCTGGAAACTCGTAAGAACTGCCAGGGGACATTTCTTATATTTACGCGAACACTACACATGAAATTTCAATGAAATACAAAACAGCCTATAAAAAGTGCTATAAGAGACGAGAATGGATGTATTCTGAATGATGAAGTTTCGAATTTAAACAGATGGAAAAAATACTTTGAAAGCGTGTTTATGAGTGAAGAGTCGTCTGAATTAAATGAACTAGAAATTCCGAAAGAAGTGGAAAGGGGTATGGAGATAAGTGTAGATGAAATAATGTAAGCAATGAAAAGCATGAAAGCAGGTAAGGCAGCTGGATATGATAGAGTATCACTCGAGATGCTAAGGGCTGGAGAGGGAGTGGTGGCAGGCCTGCTGTACACCTTGTTTAATTTATGTTGGGAATTAAAACGGGTACCGGATGACTGGTGTAAAGCAGTTATAGTACCAATATATAAAGGAAAAGGGTCAGCGCAGGAATGCAAAAACTACCGCGGTATCAGCTTGCTTAGTATTGTGGGTAAACTGTATGCTAAGGTGTTAATTGAAAGAGTTATGAAAGAAACTGATGGAAAAATTTGGGATGTGCAAGCGGGTTTTAGAAAGGGAATGGGGTGTACAGATCAAGTCTTTTCCATGCGCATGATTGCGGAGAAGTTTTTGGCCAAAAACCAGAGTTTTTTGTGCGTTCATGGACTTGGAAAAGGCTTATGACAGAGTGGACAGGAATGTGTTATGGCAAACACTGAACTCATATGGGTTGAGCGCTGGTTTGATACAGGCATTAAGGTCTCTTTATAGGGACTCTAGTGCTTGTGTCAGGATCAATGCGGTCTACTCGGACTGGTTTGGCATCCAAAAAGGTGTCAGACAGGGCTGTGTACCTTCCCCTTGGCTGTTCAACCTATTTATGGACCGGTGTTTGCAAACTTTGAAAGATGAAGAATGTAGGTTAAGAATGGGCGAGTTAACCGTCAAATGCCTTTTGTATGCGGATGATCAAGTCATATTTGCGTCATCGGCGGCAGAGTTGCAAATGATGTTTACATTAAAGAACTGGGAATTAAAAGAAAGGGGAATGAAAGTGAACGAAGAAACGGTGGAAAGAAGAAAGCAAAACGTACATAAAGAACTGGGAATTAAAAGAAAGGGGAATGAAAGTGAACGCAAGTAAGACGAAAGTGATGGTTTTTGAAAGAGAAGAAAGCAAAACGGTATGTAAAATAAGAATAGAAGGAGAGTTAATTGAGCAAGTGGATGGGTTTGTGTATTTGGGATGTGTATTTAGCAGGGATGGTAGATATGATAGGGATATAGTGAATTTGTTTGTGAATGGGGCACTACACTCTATTATGAAGAACCAGAATGTGTCAAAACAGGCACGTATGGTAATTCATAATGCTGTGTTAGTCCCTACTTTAATGTATGGTATTGAAAGCTGGGTGTGGCAGAAGAAGCACGAAAGTAGAATAAATGCTGTAGAAATGCGGTCTTTAAGGAATATGCTAGGGTTGAATCTGAATGACAGGGTGAGAAATTGCGTGATAAGAGATAAATGTGGTATGCAAGATGATGTTGTGACCAGGATTAAGAAAGGAATGCTTCGGTGGTTTGGTCACGTAGAAAGAATGAATGAGGAAAGAGTGACAAAGCAAATTTATATGGCAGATGTGAATGGCCGAGTCGGGAAGGGACGCCCTATAAATAAGTTTATCGACCAAATTGGCGATATTTTGAAAATGGGCCTCGTTAGAAGTACCCTTAACCGACGAGCATGTATGCGTAGATATATGGATGTAAAGGAGGCGAAAGAGGTATGTCAGGATCGTGCCAAATGGAAGTCCGTAGTCTCTGCCTACCCCTCTGGGTGACAGGCGTGAGTGTTTTATGCTATGTTATTATATATATATATATATATATATATACAGGCTGTTAGTGTAAACACCGTTATCCTAGAAACCAGTGGTTTGGTTTCACCTATAGAACGTGAATTCAATGAATTTAAAAAAGAACGCACGCTATTCGGACTGTGAAGATCACCGCCCGCGCTAGCTACCTACACAACATTCCAATAAAGTCACATTTTTCCTTTTTTTGCAATAAAACTTCAGAATGTATCGAATTTCTTCGTTAGATTCACTGATTTTGGCGGACAATTGAAAAATGGCGGTAAAGTGTTTTTATTTTTTACTTTTCTTAATATCCTATACATATTAATAATTAAAACTAGCCAGATACAAACAGTATAACCAAAGAGATTTGCCTTCAATTTTATACGAATAAAATATGAAGAAACTTTTTTCTTTGTCATTTTGTCAAACACTCATTTAGACACACCATTACGTAGGGTCGTAGTCGAGGAAAAAATATTATTTTCGAAAATCTTTACAATTTGTACCATAAATAATTTTGATTCTACTCACCTCCAGGCAAGGGATATTTGTCTCTCAAAAAGTCGAAGAAATCCAAATTCTTTGATCCAAAACCGGTTCCTATTATTTCTGATATCAAATTAACGTAGGGGTTATGAAAGTTTGATCTCAGCCGTCTAATATTGTTATTTGTCTTACTTGGTTTTTGGAAGTTAGCTTCTATGTTTTCTATTTTATATATATAGTTCTCTTCATCCACTGTTTCTGTGCTGGTTTCGCCATTACCATCGGTTGATTTTGTTATTAACACTATTGAAAGCACTATAATTAATTTTAATATCATTTTTGTCGATTACTTTATGTTATACTTATTTGGATATATTAGAATTTGCAAATAAAATAATTAAGGCCTCTAGCGGTTTCTGTGAAAACTTGTGGTATAATGATTGAGATCTTGCTGATACCTGTATATACATACTTGCTGCTGACGATTATGTGTCTTAAATCACGGCTGCGTATAATAATTAATATTTTATGCGGTAAAAAATTGCGATTAATTATTCATGTTTTAAACATTATTCTTATTCGTGTTCTTGATTCGATAATTAAATAAACCAAAGAATACTTTGGTTTATTTAATTATTTGTATTGTAAGTTGTTGTTAATATAGGTTTACCTTTACGAAATTTTAATGTACTAGCTATACTAGCCTAATTTAAAACTGGAGTGACGGTAGCCTAATGGTCTAGGACTCTGATCGTTTAAAGCCGTAGGTTCAAATCCGCCTTTCGGCTGCTGTGTGACCCTTTCTCTCGCCACAAAGGAATTTTAAGATTACCTGGTGTGATTAACGAAAATGCTATTAATGTAAATTTCATTGCTACTATTTTTAATAAAAAATAAAAAAACAGCAATTAATAAAATGTTATTGTTTGGAAAAATATTAGAAAGTTTAACGTTTACTCTACCTTTTTGGAAACTAGCTTGTTCTGGAAGCTGGAACTCGTCAGGCTTACGTGCGAGACGATTGGTAACGACTCTCAAAACAGCACGGCTCAGGATATAAATCTGTTGTTAGTTAGAACAAGACTACGTTTACGTGCAGCATGGCTATACGTGGTAGAGCCATGATATAGCTATATCATAGTTGTTTGCACGAATGCGTCGACAGGACCCGGGAAGGACCATGCTCTCACTCGCTCCTCATATTACGGATTTTTTTATTTTACTTATATTATTTTATATTTATTTTATTAACTATGCTGCCATATAAACAAACAAATTTGACCTAATACTACACTATTTCGTGGCATTGAATGTAAAATATATTAAGTTACAGTTTTCCTTTGCTCCGTAAGTATAATTCATCATCGTGTGAAACTCATATATTATCTACGAGGGCAACACTGAAAGTTTTTAGAACTGGCCGCTTGTAAAGGATATAATAAAAAATAATTTTAAATTTTGTAAATGGAACTCTTTGCCAATATCATTGTGTATGTATTTTATTAATTTGTCATTTATTTACGATTTAGCGGCAAATTGAAAATTGTCTGTGTCAATTCAGCGAGAATTTAAAGCGAGAAAATTTTCGTACAATGATTTTTTATGACTTTCGATGTCATTTATGTCAACAAGAAAGTTATGATAGACTTCGATTAGCCTTTCACAATGAAAGGCTAATCGAAGTCTCTTGCCACTGTTTACAACAGGTTTAATGAGTTTAAACGTGGTCGCACTAACCTCACCGATAATCTGCGTGAGACACGTGCTTCTGCGGTGACGGCTGAAGATGACATCAGTGTTGTGCGGCGTGTGATGGAGACTGACAAAAGAGTGACTTATCAGCAGATTCAGGTGCATTACAAAATGCCGTCAAAGAGATCCCTAAGGACGAGTGGGCAAAGTGCTTTTCTCAGTGGTTCCATCGGATGCACCGATATATTGATGTAAATGAACACTATTTTGAAAAGATATAATAAAACTAATTAACAAAAAATTAATCTGGCTTGGCAGATGTTGTAATGCCCTTTCTAGTAGAGTTGAGATTGTCGCCAAAGAATTTCGAATTTTTGCTAACTAAAAATAAAAACTAGATTAGTTAATTCTTGATATATTCTTATGACAGGCTGTAAACTTCGTTCTGGCTAAAATGTTCCTTTTTCAATAGTCTGTGGAGGCAAAAAACGTTTTTTTAAATATTTCGTATGTTAAGCATCTGCGTTTTATACAGTAATGTGCAGTCGAAAGTGAAGTATAGCTTGCTTAATGTACAAATCTAAAAATGGAATTATCTACAAATTTAGTAAGTAGTTGTTATTTTAAAGTGGTAACGGTTGTATTTAATGTTGATATCCTTAATTTCTAGCTAAATTAAATCTTTAAAGATAGGCGATTAACCTTCAGTAATAATTTTAATTATATAGGTACATAAATTGTTGACTTGCTTACTTACGAAGACAATGATTTAATATATTATGTTAAATAACTTCCGCAAGAACGAATTTTGCGAAACTCTACTCGCGAAGGGGATTGCGGAAAAAAAATAATTATAGTTCGGCCTGTAATTAATAATAAAATTAATCTGTAGAACTTTTGTGTGTATTTGAGTAGGTTTCTGGATGGTTTAAAAACTCGATTGGACCCGGTAGGTGGCGCTGTTGTTGAGAAATCCAGAAATCACCCGCGCGAAGCCGGGTTAGATCGCTAATTCATAATATATGTACTCCTATATTCCTATCCCGCTAATACTAGAAGATTAGATCACCTATAAGATATCATAAAGAACATAATATAGAACTATATTTCTTTTTATTTGGTCTACAAAACTGAACACAATTACAACATGCTGAAAGTTTTATATAAAACAAATATTTCAAAAATTGTGTTTTGGACACATTTTGCACAAAATTTATATGTAACAATATAGAAATAAATGGTCTTTCTTCACTTTCATGGTATTCTTTTATACATCTGTAAAATATTTAAAAAAAGTTTTGGTAAATCAAATTATGTTATACGTCAATTTTTTGAAATATTTTAAATATATACAAGTTTTGGTAAATCAAATCATGTTATACGTCAATTTTTTGAAATATTTTAAATATATACAAGTTTTCACAAATAACAGTATTACTACGGTACGTGAAAGTAATATGGTCGCCTTAAGCTTTGCCGTCCTATAAAACCAAAGCTAGAAAAAGGACGGAAACAAAAACACAAAGGCATATACTATAACTAATATATTAAGAAAAAAATAGCAAACAAGCTTTGGAAATAATTAGAACACCATACTAAAATCGACTAAAATATATACTATTACGTCAACTGTCAAAATGGCGTCGATAAAGCATCGCCCTTTAGACCCTTTATTATTTGATTTACCGATGAAAAGCTATCGTATCTCTAAGCCATCTATGCAAATAAGGCTGTGGTTTTTGAGTTTCAAAAAAGTTACCATATTAACCGGATGACCATCAAATTCTCCGATAATTTTAATTCAAAAGTTAATTAAAAAAAGTTTGGAAAATCCAAAAGTGTACGACTCTTAATACTGATATAATCGTGAAAAAATGTAAAAAAAAAATCTCAAACACCGAAAAGGAGACGGGCGAATTTGAGCCTAACCGTTACACAAGTGAAATATTTATCAATATTTTTTTACATTTTTTTTGTAGTTAATAATGAAATATTAAACAGTTTTATCATGGAAAAAGAAATTAAGTATTAAATAAAAATAATACTGACTTCCGTTGTTTTTATTTTTAAACAATGCTGCCGGATGAAATAGGTTAGTTAATCCATTTTAATACAAAAATAGAAAAAAAGAATAAAAAGTAATTCAGTGTCTTCTTCTTTAGGTAATTAAGAAACTTATTATTTAAATAATGGTTTCCTCGTGACACTTGAAGGTTTCCAAAAAGTCGTAAAATAAATTGACCGAACCGATTAATAAATCGATTTCACAATCGATTATCAATGTTTTATACAGGCCACAAAGCGGAAATGTCAACGTTAGTTCAAAAACTCAAGCGTCAATCAAATAATTTGTTACGTTTGTTTCGCTCTGATCTTACTGTGGTAGTGAATGTTTTCTGTTGTTTTTGTGTGCTGCAATAATATTCCGATCTTTAACGACTCTGGCTACGTGTAAAGGATTCTGATGGTTTCTTTTCTGATTTTACAAGAATACATGTACAAAATGATAACTTAAATGATTTTCCCCAGCTCACAGATAGTGATTTAATAAAAATATCTTTAGGTTTTTATCTAATTAAGTAGGCTAGGTCCCATTATGGAGAACACATACGACAAGATGGGCGATATGAAATAGAAGTGTCTAGAGAAACGGTTGGCAACCTACTAAGAGAACTGTCAATATCCAACCATTCTAGCTGGTTATCAAGTGGTCGAATAAAATCGAGACATGCTTAAGCTCAAAAACATATTTTATATATTATATTTTAGTTGACAGTTATTATAATGGTAAAGAGGCCATCAAACGGTATTATTGTAATTGCTTGGTAAGAAAAAGAACTGTAGGTTGCTGTTGTCATGTAATGTCCATAATATCGTACCTAAACTGGGCAAGGCATCAAGAGAATTTAATACCGCATGCACCGTTTTTAGACGATATTTTATTTGTTTATGATGAAGTGGACGATTAATAAATCAATAAAAGAGAAAGTGTTTTTAATTCATACTCCCTCAGCTTTTTTATAATTATTTCAAACCTCTAGAATTTAGTTGGACGGCGACGTCTGAATCCTATATGTATGAATGTCCTACAGTACATAAAATTATGTTAGTCTAGTTTACAATAAAGTCTAATAAATATTTTCTTAAAGTGTAATGGGAGACCTTGGTGTAAGAATTACATTGTAAGCATAACGTAAGCAATAACATTGTTTTCATACAAATCAATAACATCCTATATTTTTTTCTACCATGAAGCAGTTGTAAATATTATAGTTTTTTTAAAATGGTATTGGTATATAAATAATATAATGCAGTAATCGTTACTGTAACATCAGGCCCAGCTTTCTATGAACTTTCGCCCGTCTCCTTTTGGAATTTCTCAGTCGAAACAAATTAATTATAACTAAAGAAAATAAAATTAAAACAGCCATTTACATTCCGTAGCTGTTAAACATAAGTGATGAGTTGATCAATTGATATTTTCAAAAGTTATCCTCCATGCGAACTTGATAATTCTACACCATAAGCAATTAAAACCACTTTTTTAATGTAAAACAGCAATTAATCGATTTAAAAAAATATCTTCATAACCATTTATCTTTCTGTTAATGGGTTTTTATATCATTTATATGTCCATTATGATTG